GCAGTTATGAGCAGCCAGCCCAGAAGGCACTTCTAAAGACACAGCTACTTCATCCCATATGATCTTTGTGGCAACCTCCTTCAGGCACATGAAACCATAAGTTATTTTCTCTGCTTCCTGCCCATGTTACCTTCTTAGAAACTACAAAGTGCTCTGAAGACAAATGCTCAACAATTCAGAGAACTTGAATCTTACAGTTGTCAATTATAGGACATATTGCTCTAGAACCTTTCATGCAACAAAAATTTAAACAGGTATTGTTTTATGACTTACCTGGCTCAATTTCTAGAACAGGTTTTGGTTGTAGGAAGTCTTTAGATTTTTACCACAAGTTATTTCAAACCATTTGTCATGGTAAATTCACTTCCTCTTCCTTTTCTTGCATAATGTTTAATTATCTAAGATGCCACATTGTGGTTTCCCCATGTTTTAATGCACCAGAAATATAATATACAAAGATACTGCACTGATGTACACATCAAAGTTTAATTGTGCAGTGCTATTTTCCACTGACCCCCTCTCAGTCCAGCATTCTACATCGTAAATACATATATCTGGGGATATCTGAATTAAATGGATTCTCCTTTTACCTATCTTCCTGGTTAAATCCTGTCTAAGAAGTCTTGCCAGTTTGGACCTCAAGAAGTTGACTGGCATCTGCCTAAGTGCAGCCTGGCCACTCTAGCAGTTGTGTCTTATCACAGGGAGACATTCCTGGCTACCTCCCTCCAAACTTGGCTCCTCCTCACTGTCTTCTTGCCACTTGAACTTAACTTGAATTTCCTGAGATCTCCTGGGTTGATACTATCTTTATATTTTGTAATAAGTCCCTGGCATCTGATTTCATCATATCTTTCCTGCCTGCTTAATGTATTCCCTCAAGCAAATAGGAGACATCCTATTAGACTTCCTTTGTCAAGTCAGTGTGGTCTAAGGAAGAAGGATTCTGAACAAGGAGACGGAAGCTTTAAATTCCAGCACCAGCTCCTTTTATAACTGGTTATGTGACCTTGGAAAAGCAGTTTAGATCCTCGGTACCTCTAGCACATAGTTTCTAAACTGTAATAAATATTATAAATCCATTCTGTTCTCATCATTTTTATCATCAAAGATCATTTATCAAATGCCTACTTGGTGATGGTACATTGCAGGGTGAGGCAGGCAATTGGGGCCCCCGTTGGCCAGTCAGAGGTCTAAAACAGAGCATTTGAGCCCCTTATGAGGTGTTGCCCGTGTGAACCTCACACAAGCATTTGTTCACAAAGTTGTACGACTGTGGGGAAATAACAAGAAAATACATAATAAAAAATTTTTGTAATCCAAATTTATCTAATATTTAAAAAAAATCAATCCTTAAGATTTTTTTGTGTGTAAAAATGTCATTTCTTTTAATGATATTATGGTCATAGCAGATGTTACTTTCTAAAATTGTTCTCACCAAAATTTAAAAAATTGTTGCTCATTTTAAAAAACAGGTAGCAGTTATATTTATGTTTATTTATTTTATTATTACTATTTTTTAATCCTTGCCTAAGGATATGGTTATTGATTTTAGAGAGAAAGGAAGGGGGAGAGAGAGAGAGAAACATCGACTGGTTGCCTCCTGTATGCACCCCAACTGGGAATTAAACCTGCGACCAAGGTATGTGCCCTGATCAGGGATCAAACCTTCAGCTTTTTGGAGAACAGGACAATGGGTCATTAAGTGAGCCACTTTGCCAGGGCAAAAAAATTTTGCTCTTAAAAAAAATTTAATCTTTAGCCCTGGCTAATGTGGCTCAGTTGGTTGGAGTGTTGTCCCTTAGCCAAAAGGTTGAAGGTTCAATTCCTGGTTGGGTCACATATGTGGGTTTCAGGTTCAATCCCTGGTGTACGCACATACAATCCCCGGTGTCAGTATGTGCAGGGTGCTTCTCTCTCTAAAAGCGATGTAAAAATGTCCTCGGGTAAGGATTTAAAAAAATTAATCTTTACAAGGTTTTGCTAATAGGTGAATTCCAAATCTGAGCTGTACAAGATTACAGAGTTCTTCACTGGGCCACGTCTCTCTTGAGAAGAAGTTTATCTAGCAGCCATCATCTTCTCCCAGACTCTGTGTTGTGTAGTTTAGAACAAGCTCAGTTGATGGCCTCGGGGAAAGCTAGGCCCTAGTGTCTGCACTGCCGTTTAGTGTCCACATCAGGGAGGTAAGTCCTATAGCACCTCCATACCTCAGGTTCCTCATCTGTAAAATGGTGTTAGGAGAGATGGCTCGTCTACCTTTAATCCTAATGGGTAATTAAGACTTTCTCCTTGACCTAATAATTCTAATCAAGTTTTCTCTAAACGCTCAAGGCCCTGACTTTGGGCTCTGTCCTTAAGCTGTTAGTTCAGTTTTAGCAAGGATCCTGCTAGAAAAATCCCCAACCCTTAATATCTGATTAAATTCCTCATCCTCTGCCCTCAATGTCTTATCACTGTGGCTTGCCTTGTCTAAGGATCTGGTTGAGTTGTCTAGCAAGAATCCTTTTAGCCTTGGAGTTTTATCTTTCTTCTAAATATCAATTTTATTTATTTATTTTTAGAGAGAGGGGAAAGGAGGAAGAAAGAGAGGGAGAGAAATGGTGATGTAAGGGAGAAACATCCATCAGTTGCCTCTGGTACGTGCCCAACCGGGAATTGAACATGAAGCCTTTGGTGTACGGGAGAACACTCCACCCAACCGGGCCCCTGGCCAGGGCACTGGATTCATACTTTGACAACCATTGTAGGATAAGAACTTTGAATCCACTAGAATTTAGTAATCAACCAATCAATCAGTCAATTATTCTCAAACTGCACTTATTTAGAATCAGTTACTTCTTTGGTTTAACTACTGAATTAGTGATCCCTCAAGGCCCTTTTGCTAAAAAAAAAAAAAAATGCTGTGATGTTTGAGTGAGGCAAGGCAATGCATCTTGATTCAACAATTGAAGCCTGACTTCCTCTGCAATCCTGTCTGTTTTCAACTTCGTCAGTATCCCCTCCACTCCAGTTACCTAAGGACTCTAACACTCAGTATTGTAGGCACCAAGCATGACATACTGTGTTTTAATTTTGTGCATGAAAACAGAATGCAGTGCTCTTCTCCAAATCTTGACAGATGGGATGAGAATCTTCTCTTTTCCTTGGAGATCTCTCTAAGGAAACCAAATCTACATTCTGGCTCTTCTGAGGCTGGAGGGAGGTCATTCCAGGACCAGCAAATGCTGAAGTCTGCTTTTAAGATTGTCCAGGGCAGGTACCGTTGTGATGTATTGGCTTTCCACTGATGGAGCCTACAGGCCGTTTTAAGTTAAAATCCAAAAGGAACTAGGTTTTTTTTAATTTTATATATATAGGATTTCCTAAGTAATGTATTTTCTCTGAAAACATTTTAATCAATTGTTCTTCAGAGGCTGATTATCCAAAAGAGAGAAAAAAATAAGTGGTAAAGAAAGATAGGATTCAAAATAACTCTGGCTCCAGAGTGCATTCTATGTTACCTCTTTCTTTAAACAAAAAAACAACCTTCCAGATTAATCCATAATTCAAATGTCTTATTAAACCACTTGACAATCCAAACGTGTTATGGGTTCAATTGTGTTCCCCCAAAAAAGATAACCCCCAGTACTCCAGAATGTGACCTTTTTCAGAAACAGTCTTTGCAGATGTAATTGGTTAAGATGAGGTCTACCGGACAGGGTGGGCCCCTGTTGCACTGTGTCTGGTGTCCCGATGACAGGATGGCCATGTGTGGACAGGCATTCAGGAGTGACACCAAGTAGGAAGGGAGAAATCGGAGACATGCATCTGCAAGCCAAGGAATGTCAAAGATTGCCAGCAAACCAGCAGAAGGTAGGGAAAGGCAAGGAAGGATCCCCTTACAGGTTTCAGAGGGAATGTGGCCTTGCCAACACCTTAATTTCAGACTTCTAACCACTGGAACTCTGAGAAAATAAACTTTTGCTATTTTAAGCCACTCAGTTTGTGGTACTTTCGTATAGCAGCCCTAAGAAATCAATGCAGAACTGATATATTTATTCTCCATTTTTCTCTCACTTCTCCCTCCTAACTTCTTTTTTTTAAGATGTTATTCATTTATCATTAAAGAGAGGGAAGGAAGGAAGAAAAAGAGAGAGAGAAACATCAGTGCGAGAAACATCAATCAATTGCCTCTTGCTTATGCCCCGACCAGGGACTGCACTGGCAACCCAGGCATGTCCCCTGACAGGGAACTGAAAGCAAACTGATGACCTTTTCTCTGTAGGATGACACCCAACCAACTGAGCCACACCGATCAGGGCTTCCCTACTAATTACGACAGCAGTTCTATAGAATAGCAGGCCTACTTGGTAGGGCAAGAAGTAAAGATCTGAGTTGATCATTCATTCAGAGCCTGGATGACTCCCAGTATGTTGTGTAGGTGCTTAATAAAATGTTTGTTGATTGAATATGTCCCTCCAACATATATTAAAGGACTATTCTTTGCCAGGGTTATCTAAAAATGGGGCAAAAAACCTTAAAAATCAACAGTAGGCAGTAACATTTCCTCAAATCCACAGATGACTTGGTAAATATTAGCCACCAAGCTTTCTTCCAGCATCCCTAAGACAAGTAAACAATGACTGTTTTAAGAATTGGTTCCTAGGCCCTCGTGTTCCATTGATCTCTCTGTGTCTGAGTAATGCTTCACCTCTTTTTCCTTGCCTTGCCCCTGTCTGGTGGAGATACTAAGGAATGGTACAAAAAACAGATGTCAGAAGGAAGAAATACAACCCCCAAACCTGATCGTGAGGGCTTGAATAATTGAGAGGGCACCACCACTGTGAAGCTGTAGAAAAAGCCCTCTGGACATGTTTTAGACCTCAGTATCTCAGGAAGCTTGTAAGGGTGCTTTTAAAAAGGTTTGCCCAAGGTGAAAGGATGAAATGATTATCTGAAAAAAATGTAGTAAACATGTTGAGTGACTCTTTTGGGAACACTGTCTTCAGTCATTCACAATGGTCTGGCATTTGATACACTGTCAGAGGTGGTCCTACAATATAGCTTCCAACAAATTAGGCTGTCCCAGACCCCCTGGGAACAGAACTGTTTATCTTCACACCAAGAAAGTAGGGAAAGCACCCAGCTCTGCATGTGGCGTGTGCCCAGGCCGACTGTGCGGAGTTCCTGCTGTGAGGCCTAAAGCTCTAATGAGGTTGTCTGAAACAAAAAAGCCCACGAGCGGGGCCTGTGGTGGATCCGAGTGTGCTCAGTGTGTCTGTGAGAGGGCCAAGTGTGCTCTCCTCACTGAGGAGCAGAACACCATTGTGAAACTATTGAAGGCACAAGCACAGGGTCAGAAAGCTAAATTTGAAAAAATGAAGCTTATTTGAGCAATAAAAATAATTAAAAGCCTTGTTCTGTTAAAAAAAATAAACATGTTGAGCAAAAAGAGCAAAGAAAATGATAAGCAATACAGTTTCTTTTTTATAAAACAGTGGTAAAATACCCTGTGTGTGTATGTGTGTATAAAACTGTTTATGTTCCTTTATATATCTTTGAGATTGTATGAACATGCAGGCGGAAGGATACTGTGTCAGTTTCCTATGGTTACTGCAACAAATTGCCACCAACAGCAGAGGGTAGTTAAATTCATGGAGATGAAAAGCAGAATGGTGGTTTCCAGGAGCTGAGTAAAGAGGAACAGGGAGTTGTTAGTGAGTGGGCATATACAGAATTTCAATTCAGCAAAATGAAAAGAGTTCTGGAGATTATTTTTTAACTATGTATTTCATTTACTGATTTTTAGGGAGAGACAGATGGATGTAGGGAGAGAGACATCAATTTGCTGTTCCACTTACTCATGTATTCATTGGTTGATTCTCTTATGTGCCCTGACCAGAGGTTGAACCTGCAACCTTGGTGTATCGGGATGCTGCTCTAAACCACTGAGCTACAAGCCCAGGTCAGTTTTAAAGACTGATTGCACAACAGTGTAAATGTACTTAACACCAATGCACACTTAAAAATGGTTAAGATGGTAAATTTTATGTTATGTGCATCATAACACAATTTTTTAAAGCTAAACTCGAGGTAGGTATCATTGTTGGTCCTATTCTGAAACGAGGCACTGCAACTTGCCTGGGACCACAGTGATAGTAAATGACAGAGCTGGGATTCAAATGCAGGATAATCTGACTCTAAAGGTCTTCCTCCTAATCCCTGTGATATATAAAAGATAAAATGGTCTCCAATTATTAAAAAAAGAAAAAAGATACTCCCTTCTCCAATAAAGTTATTCTCTTACAGTCCTGAAGGCCAGGGTCTGGCATTGGCTTCCCTGGGCTAAAATCTAGGTGTTGGCAGTGCTGTGCCCCCTCTGGAGTCTCTGGGAGGACCTGTTTCTCTGCCATTCCAGATGCCGGCATTCCCTGGCTTGTGGTTCACACTCCAGTCTCTGCCCATGTGGTTACATTGCTTTCTCTTCTCTGTGTGTCAAATCTCCCTCTGCTTCTGTCTCATGAGGACACTATGATTGCATTGAGGGCACCCCTGGATAATCCAGGATAACCTTCCCATTTCAATCTCTTTAACTTAATCACATCCTCGAAGACCCCTCTTCCATATAAGATGACAGTTACAGGTCCCAAGAATTAGGACCTGCTATTCTGGGGATCCAATATACACTACATCATTAACATGGGGAGGGGCAGCATGGTAGGCACCAGTGATCCTTGCCTCTTATTATTCACACCTTTTAATACAGTCTATTCCTACACTGAATGAGCGCTGTCTATGTGACCAGCATAACATGGCAGAAGTGACAGTGTGTGATTCCCCGGCTAAGTCAACAAGGACATTATAGTTTCTGCCGTGCTGTCTTGGATAGATTGCTCTGAGGGAAACCATCCGTCAAGTGAGGACACTCAGGCAGCCCCGTGGAGAGGCCCACACACAGAGAAACTGAGGTCTCTCGCCAACCAGCGCTGGTTTGCCGAGCATGTAAGTGTGCCACCAGGTCTGCCTGGAAGCAGATCCTTGAGCCCCAGATAAGTCTTCAATAACGACTGCATTCTCAGAACTGCCCCGATACTCAGCTGAGCTTCTCCTGACCCACACAAATGATGAAAGATAATAAATGCTTATTGTGGTTTTAAGTCATTAAGTTGTGGGGTAATTTGTAACACAGTGATTATGAGAGGAGAAACAATCCCCTCCCTCCAAAAAAAACTGTACTTAAAAAAAATCCCTTTCTATCTATGCACTTAAGTAAAATTACATATATGTCTAAAGTTTACAGAGAATATTTGGGGCTTACATGATATTAATCTCTGAAAACAAGAAATGGATTTGAGCGGCACACAGCTTTCTCCATTCCTGGGAGCGGAGAGGAAAGAGATGTAATGTTGTGTGGTTACCTTGCATCTTTTCATACTGAGGCACATAATTAATGTCTGTTGTTATTGCTTACCCAGCATTCATTCTCCTTTCCTCTCGTAATAGTGTCCCACTTTGCCTCTAGGGAACTACCTTAGAAGGACATAAAGAAATAAGAGAATGAAAAGAGAGCCAGATTTGAAGGTGGAACTGACTGAAAAAAATGCCTCTGGGTGCTGTGCTTATGACTTCTGTAATCTGTGTAAATCAAACAGTAAGTACCTAGTTATGTGTGTGTGACAACAATCCACTCCTCTCCTAAATCTCATAAACATCTTGGAGGAAAGATGAAGTATCGCTGTATAAACTGTGGAAAAATCCAAAGATTTTTTTAATTTAACAATTAAGTATAGATTAATGATAAAGATTCTACAATAAAGCCTGATCTATTTTTCTGTTCTTTTCTCCCTCTGTGTGGCTGAGACATGAGTCATCTCAGGCTACTATAACAAGTTGCTGTAGGCTGAGTGGCTTGAACAGCAGAAATTGTTTTTTCATAGTTCTGGAGGCTGAAGTCCAAGATCAAGTTCCCAACATGGCTGGGTCTGGTGTTTTTTCCTGGCTTATAGACTTCTCACTGGGTCTTTTAAAAAATATATACTTTATTGATTATGCTATTACAGTTGTCCCAATTTTCCCCTTTCCCCCCTCCACCTCTTTAGTTCATGTCCATGGGTCATGCATTTAAGTTCTTTGTCAACTCCAATTCCTATACTGTTCTTTTTTTAAAATTTATTTTATTTATTTTTAGAGAAAGGGGAAGAGAGAAAGAGAGAGAGAGAAACATTAATGTGTGGCTGCCTCTTGCATGCTCCTCACTGGGGTCCTGGTCCACAATCCAGGCATGTGCCCTGACTGGGAATTGAACCAACGACCCTTTGGTTCACAGGCTGGCACTCAATCCACTGAGCCACACCAGCCAGAACCGGTTCCTATATTGTTCTTAACATCCCCTTGTATATTTTATACCTACCAATTTGTTCTTAATTCCTGCAGCTTTTCCCTTATTTTCTCCCTTCTCCTTCCTAACCGATAGCCCTCCAAATGATTCTGTTTCTGTTTTGCTTGTTTGCTTAGTTTGCTTCTGTTTTGCTTGTTTGCTTAGTCAGTTGTTGATAGTTGTGAATTTATTTCCATTTTAATGTTCATAGTTTTGATCTTCTTTTTCTTCTGTGAGAGGAGGCAAGTTGCATTTACCTATGCCTTCATCTTGACCTGAAGTCCTCACTGGGTCTTCGTGCACAGGGACTTTCCTGTGTACATATGCACATTTGTACACATACCCACACACAGAGATCTGGTGTCTCTTTCTGTTCTTATAAGGACCCCAGTCCTATCAGTTTAGTGCTCCACCAGTTTTACTGCCTTAATTATCTCCTTAGAGGCAGTGTTTCTAAATATAGTCACAGTGGGACTTATGGTGTCAACAATTTGGAGGGAAGATGATCCAGTTCATAACAGACATTTGCTGCTCACTGAATCTCCATGTGCACCTTGACTCTCCCAGGCCCCTTATTGTCAGTCAGGGTCAGGTGACTAGTCTGGCCAATTGCCGTTAGCAAAAGGTATATGGCTCACTTCTAACTGAAGCTTTTAAAAGCTGGTGCATGGCCCTTAAGCTCTCTCTACTTTTCTTTTGATGACCTAGGAGACATATTCTAAATGATGTAGCCTGGGTCCTTGAATGACTATGTTGGAGCCTTACCCCCAGTGAACTACTAAATAAATGAAAAAATATCCCATGTTGATGAATCTGTAGTCTAATATTGTTAAGATAGCAATATTCCCTAAGTTGATCTATGAATGCAATACAATCCCTATTAAAATCCCACTTGGTTTTCTTTCTGTGTGTGTGTGCAGAATTTGACAAGAAAATCCTAAAATTCACATGGAAGTGCAAGGGATCCAGAATAGCCAACAATCTTAAAAAAGAACAAAATTTGAAGATTCACATTTCTCAATATCAAAACTTAGTCCAAAGCTATAGTAGTTAAGACAATGTGGTACTGGCATAAGGATAAAACATATGTATCAATGAAATAGAATTGATAATCCAGAAATAAACATTTACAGTCAAGTGATTTTCAGCAAAATTTCCAAGATAATTAAATAAAGAATAGTCTTTTCAACAGATGGTTCTGGGATAACAGAGTATTCACATGCAAAAGAATGAATGTGGACCCTTATTTCATACTATATATAAAAATCAGCTAAAAATAAATTGAAGGCCTAATGTAAGAGCTAAACATGACACCAAAAGCACAAATGACAAAAGGAAAAAGATAAATAGAACATTATCCAAATTGAAAACTTTCATGCTTCAAAGAACACCATCAAGGAAGTGAAAAGCAACCCACAGATTGGTAGAAAATATTTGCAAATCATCTATATAATAAGGGTCTTATATGTAGAATATGCAAAAAATAATCTCTTGCAATTCAACAATGAAAACCATCCCAATTTAAAAAATGGTCAAAGGCTCTGGCTGGTGTGGCTCAGTGGATTGAGCACTGGCCTGCGAACCAAAGGGTTGCCAGTTCGATTACTGGTCAGGGCACATGCCTGGGTTGTGGTCCAGGTGCCTAGTAGGGGGGTGGTGTGTGAGAGTGAACAACACATTGATGTTTCCTTCTCTCTAAAAATAAGTAAATAAAATAGAATAAATGGGCAAAGGACCTGAACAGACACTTATCCAAAGAAGGTATACAAATGGACAATAAGTACACTAAAAATGTTTAACTTAATGTCATTACTCATTAGGGAAATGCAAGTGAAAGCCACAATAAGATACCACTTTATACCCACTAAAATGGCTATAAGAAAAAAATAAGAGAAAAATAACAAGTATTGGAGAGGATGTAGAAAATGTGGAACCTTAGTACATTGCTACTAGGAGTATAAAATGGTGCAGCTTCTTTGGAAAACAATCTGGCAGTTCTTCAAAATATTAAACAAA